AACATGTTCAGAAAAGTCAGTCAGCTTTCTCAGAGGGCCTTATTAACTTTTTCGGCTAGAACGGGTACTCACAAAAGACAATAGAGCACAGTCTTGCGACATCATGGATTGATTGAAGTTCGAAATGTTCGCCACTGAATTTTACCTCAATGGTCTATAGGCTAAGGGTTTACATGTGAGGCTGCAAAACTTGAGTTCTCTCCTTGGCTGCGTAGTTGTAGATGCTTATTGACGAGGAGTTCCATGCTAGGCCGAAGCAATCATCCAGGCCTTCTCTAGTTTCCTAACTTAAATCAATCCGTGATTTCTTTAAATTTACTCGCGCCGAGCTTTCAATCTGGAAATTTGCATTTTCTTTCTAGACATCACAGTTGTACAAATTTTCCAGATAAAAGTTATTCACAATAATTTCTCCAGTAGCAACTAACAACATCTTGTTATATTGATTGATCTTATTGTTGTTATTATGATTGTTATAATAATTGTTTTGATTGTCTTTTCCCTATGACTTGATTATTCCATTTCATGATTTTTGATGACTGATTATTCAACTGATTTTACGAACTGAAAATATATTTCAATGGTGAATGATTTACAAGTTTTCTAATCTTTTTCTACATTCACTTCTATTCAAGATTTCAAACTGATCATCAATGGAATGTGTATATTTCAATATAAGTGATGAAATATTGATAACATCTCAAGTGTTGATCGATCTTCATTCAAGATGTGAATGAAAATGTATTTTTAAATGAAGGCATCTACTGGATCACTCACTATACTTACTGTAGCATATTTATCAATTAGAAATGTTCTATCTACAGTTTGTTACTTAAGATTATCTAGTTTATTTTTAGCTAAAACTTGTTTATTCTTTCTTTCAAGCATAATCTCAATGACATTTCTTTTGTTCAGATTTCCTTAATACTGTTTACCATTATCTAATTGGTGGTCATTTTAAATTGCTTTGTTATATGGAATATCACTCTATAAAAGAGTTGTACATTTACACGCATCTGATATATATATATATATATATATATATATATATATATATATATATATATTCTATCAATCAATTACAATATGTTTTATCATTTTATTTATTGATTTATACCCAAGTCGAAAATAGTTTGTATGTTCAATGTAGCGATAATTCATTCATTAAAACACATTCATTCATTGAAACACAAGCAGACTCCTAGGAATCTGAACATATTTTACAAAAATTATATACAAGACTTTCAGAGTACATTGAGTAGGATGTCATCATATAAATATAAAAAAAGTTGTCTAAGGCTAGATTATTTGTAGTTATTGCCGAATTAGAGTTCAACTAGTCATCTAAACTACTGATTTATATTATTATTTAAACATGGATGACAAATCACATAGTTTATCTAATCTAATTTTCTGTTTATTATTCTTCATGTAAATGTGCATTTAATTTTACTCAAATGAAAGATACAATTCTTTCTAGGTGGTATTTTCTGTTTAAAGTGAACAATATTTTTGAATTATTAGATACTGATTTTATTTCACTACCCCCACCCCTCCCTCACTCTCTCTCTCTTACTCTTATTCTGTCTCTCTTCCTTTTCACTTCACTCATAATGACTTTATTCTTGGCGCCCATAGTATAAAACAACAATTTCTATCTACTAGATATACATTTATGAAATATAATTAATTTTCTTGTATAAAATGTACAATTTATTAATTTATTTTAAAAATCTTAAAATTCTAATAATTTATCCAAAGGAATAGTTATTTTTTTTTTCAGAAAATAATGATTATCCGCCTTTTAACCAATCAGAAATGAGTTGCTTTTACAGAAGAATCTAATCAATAATCTTGTGTATTTTTTTGTTTTAGGGTTCCTTCTTCTCTTTATTCGTTTCATTCATTTGTTATACATTTTGATTTTAAATTATTTTTGTTATGATTTGTTCAAATTAACTTTTGTAGTGAGATACACTGTTATACTACTCTGACATATCTGCATTAATTACACAAGCACTTATTACACTCAATTTTCAGTTATAACCAATAACTTGATGAAAAGAGAAATGTTACCAAGTTCTTAGCTATCCAAAAAGGCGAAATCTGTAAACCTCATGCTTGATGAATGTGTGATTGAAAGAGTCACACCTATATCTTATAAACCCTGTAATTCTTTCTAGTTTACGATTTTCACCATCTGTAGCGAGTAATCTGTATAGCAACTCTTCAATGCCAATAGAGAAACTCCTAGATATAAGCGATACTATACTAATGTTTACACTTTTCAATGACAGACTGACATAGAACCCTCTAATCAACAGAGTCAAATGTTGCCTCAAAATCAAGTAAGACAACTATTTCCGGACACCTGAATGTGTGTCTGGGTTCCAGTGCCTGTCCTTGTGTGAAAATGTGGTCTATACATCCACGTTCAGCTCTGAAACCAGCCTGGTTTTCTCTAATCTGCTCTTCACGAGCTTTCGTTAAGCGTCGGAGTATTGTTGAGGCCAATATTTTAATACCAAATTAGTTATACTAATTGCCCTGTGATTGTCACAAGGGGACTTTTGTCCTTTCTAATAAATTGTGACAATCAGCGATTGAGACCAGTTGGATGGGATGACGTCCTGTTCTCAGTCACCCTAACGGCTAAGACTGTAACAGCATCCTTAAAAATCTCATCCGTTATTATATCAGAATACGCTGCTCTCTTTCGTTTTAGATGTCCTGTAGCTTTTTCAAATTCATAAAGAGTCGGAGGACTTACGTCGATTTGCCATTCAGGATGGCTGGAGATCGTGGGCAACCGAAGTGTGGATGAAGGCCAGTTGAAATGATCCCTTAAGTGTTCAGCCCACCGATCCGATCTCCTGGATTGAGAATGAATGATATGACCATCCTTTCGCGAATAGATGGTATGCTAATACCGGTTACCTTGATGAGTCTGAATAGTTGTCTGCTGTCGCCTGTCGCCGCTGACTCTTCCATATCTCTCTCTTTCGCTATCATTGCGTAGGCTTTTTATCAGGCTGCGCTTAAACTGAACTCGCTCTCTGTTATGTTCCGAGCCAGGTGGTATAAGTTTCTGAGTATCCATCTGTCCGATAAATGCAACTGAAATCCACGGATTCTCCCTAACCGTATGGTTTACCTTACAAGCATATATCACAGCTGTTTCCACAGCTTTTTTGATATCGTTCCAAGCTGCTTTAAGGTGGGCATCACTTGCTACACGGCTGCCTAATAGTTTTTCTAATTGTTCCTGAAATATATTCTTAGATTTATTATCATTAGTTGGAACTCTAAGAGGTTTCCTTGTGATATTTTTCCCACGTACAGTAAGACGCAAACAAATACGCACTCGCACTAGATGATGATCTAAATCTAAACCTGTGCTCCAGAATGAGCGGCAGTCTTCGATGGAACCTCTCCACGGAAGGCGTATAGCGATGTGATCTAGTTGGGTCCATCGTTTGGTCGGCTTTAGGAGTCAAGAGATGCTTTTCCGTATGTTAAAAGTTGTAGATAAATTTTGTTCACTTATACTAAGTAGTATATCATTTCGAAGTTTAATTTTGCAGTTTTTATTAAAATTATTTTAAAAAATTTCGATATAATAATAATAATAAGAGTGAAGTTGTATAAAATAAATAGTTATTTTCTCTGTGATGTTAGTCATATAACAATGCGATAATGAATTCAGTGATTTGGTTGCTTTTAAACTGATTAGCCATTGGAAAACATCATCAATTTATCATTGAATAGTCAACGGTTAGCAAATTGCATGAAATGAATACAACTGAAAAAATACGTCTTATTCTATTATGAGACTAATCAATTGAATGTAATCGTATTGGCAGTATTGAAGTGTTTGGATTGATTATTGGAAGTCAACACATCCATATTTTAGTCATTAAGCTACATTAGTTTAATGGATTTACCAACGTATTAGATAAATTTTTCAGTCTTCATCAAAATCTATTATTTCTGAGCTAATCTACTAACACAACAGCACAAGTGGCAACACAGACTGGAAATCATGATAAGATCCTCAATGATAGACAATCAGTATAAAAATTTCTAGTTCGGTTGAAATTACTATGCAATTTATAATCGAGAGAGAGAGAGAGCGCGAGAGAGAAATATTTACAAGAAACAATTTTAAGAGAGAATTCCATTTGAGAAAGAAAGAAAGAAAATATTAAAGAAAAACAACAACTTCACATGCACCCACACCGTATTCGTAAATGTCAACTGTTTCGGATTACAGTAATTTCATCAAGATGTAGGTGAATTTCTTTTCAATTATTATTATGATGATGATGATGATTATTATTTAGTTGAATATTCCATGTAAAATAATGCGAATAAATAAATAAATTGACTAATGAATTTACTTATGATTAATATTATTATTATTATTGTCTTTATATTTTATTATAAATTAATACCTAACTTGTCAACATTTTAATTAAAATTGTTAAAAAAAAAATCAATTTAGTTTAAGGCAAAAAAACTCTCTCTGTAAAATACAAGACAATGTTTTCTTCTCTACAGATAATTGTTTCATTCGAATAGTGAACTTCTTAAAAGAGTGCCTAATATATATATACATATATATATATATATATATATATATATATTTATATATATATATATATGAAATTAAGAAGAGGCATTGAATAGTACAACCTTCCACACCTTCTACTAGTCAGTGATTCATCATTAGTATTCAATGGCACAATGTTCAACTTTTCAAGAATCAATACTATGGAACAATGAATCTTTCATACAGTCATTGATGTTAACAAACCACAACACTATCAATAATTCTATGGAATATCTTTATAAAGGAATCAATCGAACAATAATAAACAATAAGTATACTCATAAACTAATTGAATGATAATAAAATGTAGAAAAAATTACTTATCAATTAATCAATTAATAAAATTAATAACAATTAGGGTGGTGTTGTTGTAGTTGTTGTAGCTTACTTTTGTCATCCATCTAGCTTCTTCTGAATCAAATCGAATATATGGTGAATCGACACGTACTAAACGTTTATTAGGAAATTGATAATGAAAATCTCTTGTATCTAATGGTCCACTTGCTTCTAAATTACTTTCTAATTGTTTCGGTTGATATTCACCCGGTAGAAATACATGTGAACGTGTACGTATTGGTGTACGATAGAACATGGATGATTTCATACATCCTTGTAGAATGTTCACTGAGTAAATTGTTAATAAAATTATGATTTTGATTAAATAATATGATTGATACATAATTAGTTCTAATGATTAAAGCATTATTGTGATGTAATCAAATACTATGAAAATATATGTGTGTTTATGGTTGGGGTTTTTTTTCCAACAGAACATTCATTAAATATGACCACTGATTGGTTAATTAAAAGCTAAGCGTTAAAACAATATATGTGTATACTATTTGAAATAAGGCAGAAGTGTATACAACAGAACAATTAGATCCATACTGTTTCTTTTCATTTCATCCAAATGAAACTTATCAATAAATTTATAAGTGTATATCAATTTTTGAAAAAAGTAAAACAAGACAAGACAAATACTGTGCACAAATATGTTTGTTTCCCGTCTGATATCATTGCGCTAGATCTGTTTTGTGTGTTTGTGTGTAGTTTTATGTATAATAGATATCTGTGTGTTTATTTTCAATGATGTCAAGTTGTTGCTCTGTTTAATTTCATTTGCGTGGGTACATTTATAAATTTTCGATAAAGACACATATATTTCAGGTATCAATTTCTGTTCATTTATTTTGTAATTTCATCTCTACTACGTTAATGAAATTCATTTAGTTTATTGATACATGAATACTGTGTATTGATAGGTTCACTTCAGTGGGTTTTATTTTTTTATAAGGCATACAAGTGATGATATAATTTTGTTAGATAATTTTCTAAAATCTATACTATCTGAACAAAGTATGTATAGGTAATGTTTATCTTGGTGATATTATATCATGACTAGCGTATCAAAGCGTCATGAAAAAGTATATACCAAGTTGTCACCCAACACCATTTTACTCAGGAATACATCATTACATTATTACAGATGAATTTGAACAGACGACCCCTATCAGGTATGCATATAATTGGTTGAATTTTTCCTACGGCCAGTAATACACTAACCAATTATATTTAAATAGGTATAGTCAATTGAAAGGGTTAGAATGTTCAATATACAAGTAGTAGGTGTATAAACTGAACACAAGCAGACATGCCCAAATGAGACATGCAAAATATGTTTTGAATTATCCTGGAGAAAAACGATCAGTGTCCAGTTAATTCTTGAAAAATAAAAATACTTAAGCAATAATAAGCCAAATAAATAAACTGATTTTGTATTTGACGCGTTTATTCATCAATTCTACCTGTTGTTAAGGCAAATGAAAATCTCATCGAAAAACCAAACAAACAAACAAACAAACTGACTATTATGATTATGATTACTCATATTTTCAAACTGAATATGTATAATAATGCCAACATCAATTGTATTATTGTTCATGTGAAACAGGTTATTTTTGTTTGATTTTGTTTCTTTTTCCGCTTAAAAATACAATTCATGATAAGTCAACCCCACTTGAACAGATTCCAACTCTGCAGTCGGTTAATTTAACTTTATATTCATGAATTTGTCAATCAGTGAACATTATCGCATAGTCTCATTGACGCATTTCTTATGCACAAATAAAAAAAATACGAACAGAATGTGTTTCTTAGTTTTCCTGCTCTCCCCCCCCACCCTCGCTTTTTGTTTATTTTTAATTTAACATTATCTTGTATTACACTACAAGTAACACACTTTTCATGTAACTAATGCTATCCGATAAAATTCAACTCATTATGAAATCAGATAAATATTATTTATTATTAAAATCATGAATCGATCAATGTTAGATGACCGTCAGAAACCTGGAAGCACTGGATGGCCATTCAGTCCTAGTGAGTTAAATCAGTCCACGATATTGTAGAACCTCATCCATTGTCTTCAGTAAGTACCTGACTCATACGTGACAACCGGTGAACTCCACTGGTCAACAGTCTCTACAAACCTATAATGACAACCATCACCTACTAATTAGTGACTAGTTTCGTGAGAAAATTCTCGGGGTTCAAGCTGTGATCAGTGTCCTTCAACTCTGTGAGGCATGAGTCAGTTACCCACAGAAGACTATGGATGAAGTTTCACTATATCGTAGATTGATTGAAGTTAGACATTTATAAAGTTGGATGGCGACATAGTCGTCTATATGTAAATTTTTCTCATTCAAGACTGAGGGTTGCGGTTTGGATTATTGCGTGCTGAGATCGTAAATGTCCTGTTCAAATACCTCAACAGCTTTCATAAAAGTTAGTAAGTAAGATTGATAAAAATATTGACTGAAGTTAGACAAATACACTAACGAGTGAAGAGTGCAAGGTTCGTGCGTAAAACTAAATGTCCTCTGCTCAATTCCTATAAACGGAGTTGTAGACGTGTGCTCTAGAGGAGTTCTATTCTATGACGAAGCAATCATCTAATGTGTTCAGAATCTGAATAAAGATCAAGCTAAGATCAGTTCATCCATTTAAAACTGTGAGAATTCTACAATGTTGAGAAACAAAATATCCTCTATTACTAAAAAAGAAAAATATTTCCTATTTCCTTTCACAGAAATCATTTTCATCTCATTACACTTTCTATTAGATAATAATTATTTGTAATAATAATAATAAAAACGAATCTGCTGTAACTACAGTTTCATAATTTGCGAAACATTAGATTACTAACAGAAATAGTACTGAGAAGTACGTATCAATCCTAAACCCACAAATCTAAACAAATTTCTTAGCTATCACTTTGATTCATGTTAACATTTTGATCTTGAGTATTACACTTTCGTAAATATTGATCTACTTTGATATGATCATCATTCTCCTCATGTAAATTGAAATGAATTTCAAACTTATTATGAATAGAACAATATTTCAAACTGATCCTGTGAAACAATCGATTTTACTCACAGATTGTAAAAAAATTGAATAGATAAAAATTTATATTGACAAGTTAATTTGATAAGAATCGTGTTGTAATTAAATTAATTTGTAAGTTATAATCTGTTACATAGTTGTTTCATGTAGGATGGAAATCTTTGAAGATGTGACAAGTGAAGCTTAAACATGTCTTCATATATTATAAATTGATGAAATCCTGAATCGATCATTCTTAGACCACCAATGAAAACTTGAAAACATACTTGACAACCATTTCGTACTAGTATGGAACTCATCAGCAGTATGTATATACAATCCCCGCTAATGAGAATCGAACCTAAGACCTTCGGATGCACTCTGCTGATAAATCCTATAGTAAGATGAAACGGCCATCCAGTGTTTCCAGGTTTCTAAAGGTAGTCTAACATTGATCGATTCATAGTTTCCATGGAAATTTACCGATCTGCACAACCCTCTAATGAAAATTAATTGATGAAGTCAGAATGGTAAATACACTGATTCTAATGATGATACATTTTTTTTACGAAACTTTATCGCAAGTAATGTTGTCTCTCCAAACAGTTAATGAATTCACTACTAAATGATAAATTGAGCTTAAGTTGTCTAATTTTCTCTTATCAATTGTCCTTTTAATTTGTTTAATGTATTTCAAGGTCATTGGATGTTATTTAATAGAACACGGAATTGTTCTGTTTAGAATGTTATATCATGCAAAAAAATCTCAACTTCTTTTTTCTAACCCACATAATAAGTGTGTTTGTCATCACGTCACTTATTGTTCTATTGAATCTTAATCAGTTTGTATACAACAACTATTACTTCAGACTGATTACAAAATCCAAATCACATAAAGTGTTAAGTATTAATTAAGATGGAAAAGTAGTTTTTAATTATACATTAAGTGAAATTAAATAGTTTCTACTTCTATTTTTTTTTTCATAAATAAACATGAAATATTCATAGAAATAGTTTTAATTAAATCAAAATTAACATTGAAAAATGAAACAAAATTTAAAAGAAGCTTCAATTGTTTTAATGCAACAATAGATTGAATCATTTTGTTTTTTAGTTTTTTTTTAAAAAAAAAAAACATTTTTTTAGTTGCTTCAATTCATTAACTTGTTTTTGTTCACAATGTACATTGATTGTTTGTTGAGTGTATTTGTTGGTAAATGTTTTTTCTTATCCTTTCAATGTTTAGTTAGATGATATACAGTAAAGAATAACTTGCACTGACAGAAGATAATTTACATATATACATCTGTGTATGTACATATATATATATGTACATGTTTAAATAGAGAGCGAGCGAGCGAGAGAGAGAGAGATAGACAGTAATATAGAAAAATGCAAAATAAATAAAAAAAAATTTACAGTGTTACGATTTATTGAAATTACAAAATAAGAATGGTTTTAAATTTCACACTCATTGATAATACATAGATAGACAGATAGAGATTTATAGATAGAGATGGATAGATAGGCAGAGATATATTTGAACATTTTATTACTTTGAAAATGATTATCAGATTGGTTTTGTTTTCTAATCCACCAGAATCTTTTACAACAACAACAACAGCACACACAAGTGTACGTACACACATGCATAGATATATATATATGCACACACACACACACACACACACGCATCAACAACAACAAAACACAGGCATCGAATCTCTAAGCCCACATGTGTAAGAAGGAGTTGAAATGAAAAATAAAATTTGTAAATTTTAATAATTTATAATTGAAGTCAAGTTATTTGATCTCTAGTCGCCCCTTAAAAAAGACTCAATAAAATAAAGTAAATTTATTATTATCATTGGTACCGAAATAGTCAACATCACTGATACAAACACTATGCAAAAGCATCATATATCACAGTTGAATTATTGTTGATTGAAATTTATATCATATAAATAATTTTATTTCTATTATTTATTTATTTCACTGTAAACAGATTTCAATTTGAAAATAATTTTTTTTAAAAAAAGTTAGAGAGAGAGAGTGTGTACACAGCTTTCAACAGTCATAACACAATCCTTTCTTGAATGAAATCTACAACTTTCTGGTTTCTTGGTGAACATGTACCCTTTTTGATTATTGAACCTAGTTCCGGTTGTTTTCACAACTTTAAATTTAACTAATTCGTAAAGCAACGCAACTGTCACTCAGTATATAACATAAGTATTGTGATATATATATATATAACATAAGTACATTTCATGCGCTTAGTTGTGTTCACTCAATTTTACTTGTGTTCTTTACTTTCCGAAATTTGTCTATACACAATAGTCATCGAAATTTGCT